TAAACTACTCTGTCTGACATTTGGCATTAAGAAGTTGAGGCACTCGGGCATAACTCAACCCCTCCTTCTCTTATAGTTTGTCAACTATTGCATCTTACCTATTCTTCTTTATTCTTCAACTTGGGTCGTTTCATGGGTCGCTGAATAAAAACTACGTCATACTTCGTAGAACTCTCAAGACTGTCATTAGGGAGAGTTGTGGTATCCCATTGGGCCATACCGCTGACATCGTGTCATTCATGATAGGCACTTCATTTCATGCAACAAATTTGCTAAAGGGATTTTGTCACACTTTGAGCATACACCACAGCACCCACAGCCCTCATCTTACATCTCCTTCTCAGGTAAAACAAGAAGTCATTTTAAAAGACTTTATGTGCTCACCTCTAACTACAAAAATTCCACGATATTATACTTGAAAAGTATTTTATACTATGAAAGTGGTGTCAGGGACGAACTAACTAACTAACTAACCTTCTAACCACTGGTAAACAAACAAACAGTTTTCTCCACCCTTATAACATCAGGCTTTACTGTTATTATTCTCCTCATTTCTATAATCCTCCCACTATTTTTGTTTATTTTCTCATAAGTATAAACATCATTTAAGCTGTGAAATAATTGTTATTGTTTTTTGTCTTCCCCTTCACCGTGCTATTCAAAGTGAACATTAGATTCAATACTCTACAACATCCCAAACTGTTGTTATTATTATTATTATTTGCGTTATTATCCTCATTTTGTACTTTGCACATTTTTGACTTTATTCCTACTGTAAATGGGAACAAATTCCTGTGGGCAATTTTATTTGTATTTTGAGTAAATTAAATGCAATATAGTGACAAATGCTGAGAATTCCATTCTGTATTATAAGTGTTGTTTTCTTTTATAGAATAAAGCAGATTATTATTATTATTATTAAAGTTGTTCACTTTGTACAAGGAATCTTTTGAACTGGTCACCTTTGTTCACAATCTCATGGTTGTCTTGACAACTTGAGATGTTAGAAGGCGTTGTGGATAGTCTTATTCTATGAACTCTAGTTAGTTAGCTATTTGAACTTATTATCATGTTGATATTTTTCTTCTAGTCAACAAATAACCAGCTGTTTGACTAACACACACGCAATAGCCATAATCGTTAATGGAAGTTTTAAAGAAAAATGAATGAGTCGGTCTATTCACTCTAGTTTAGGATGAGATTTCTAGCAGTCAGTCACCTTCCTCATTTTCTCATGTTAAATAACCTTATTCAGTAGTTGCAGTAGTTATACTAACAATAATAATACTAATAATAACCAACTTCCGTCTGACAGAAAATAAATGTGGTCAATAGGCTTAACTTTTACAGGCAGAGATAGAAGGTGGGAGGAAAAAACCCACTGAAACTTATCGACCTTCCTTTTTATAAAAATTTTTTCTGAAAATTTCCATGTGAATTTTTAATAAACCAACTAACCAAATAATATGCTGGTTAGCAAAAAAACAACAAAACAACAAAAACAACAACAAAACAACCTCTGGTATATATTTTATTCATTCTTTCTAGTTGGTTGTGTTGCATGTTTTGTCATGAGAACAATCCCATCCATGGTAAGTGGGAGAAAAACGATAGAGATGTAAAAGCCAAATAGGAATAATAATACTAATTTATACAAATGGACTTTAGGAGAGGGGAAAAAGAAATACTGTTTCTAAATTTATTCTGCTTTTACATTTTTAATGTAAAACAAAATGCATACACATCTGTAGATGTATGTGAATGAGTTTCCCTTGTGTTGTGTCCATGTCTGCTTCACTTTTAAGCAACAATTAAGGTTGTCTTTCTGATCATCACAACTGGTATACAAAATACTCATGGATTACTTTCTGTGTATATTACAAAAGCCTAGTTTAGTAGAGGATGTGCGTGGGCATGGAAAGGATATTTTATCCTCTGGTAGGCTTGATGACGTTTTACTAATGGCAAAGATAAATGATTTCGCGGATGATTTATGTCTAATGCCACTTGAACTTGGAAAACTACAGGCGAAAACCAACAAAATGGTAGAAGAAGCAGTAAAGACATGACTTCGGGTCAACATAGAGAAGATGCGGATGATGAAGATAATCTACTACCACCATCAACGGGAGAAATTCGAAAGAGGTCAGTTCCTTCAACTTCGTAGAGAGCATCGTCTCAACTACAGGCAGTCAGCATGGATGGGCATGTCAAAGTCAACCAGAACAGATTGGAATGGCAAAACAGGCTTTCATCACACTGATGTCAGTTAGGAAATCTTTTGCACTCAACACAATTAACAAGATTCGGGTTTTCAACACAAATGCGAAGCCTGCCAGTCAGCTATTTTATAGCAGCAAGAAACTATGGGAGTAAACTAACCAATAACCTACTGCTCAACGAACATTTAAGAGAAAATGGAGATAGATCGGACACACTCCTACTTGAACGTGCGCTTCCCAGCCCTTCGAGTAGAATCTGAATGGGAAAGGACGAGATGTGTGTGAGCCCAGGGGTGACGTGGAGGAGATCGTGTGAGGAGCAGATGAGAGACCGTGTGCAATCGTGGGACCAGCTAAAGAGGCCGTCAGAGAATAGAACGAATAATAATAACAACAAACAAGTGGCATTACCTCAAACCCTTCATTATGGTAGTTATTGACAAAATTAAAATTAAATAAACCGATGAGTTACATTTGTTCAGTCATGTGTGGGATGCATTCTAAACATTAAAGAAGTTATAGAACTTTTCGTCAGGAGTCGATATTACCTAGATAGCTTATGAAACAGTTGATCATAAATCTCTGCAGAATTGAATATAATACCTGTAAGTTCACTAGTCTTCAGTCCCTATGAACGAATGCCTTTTAAAGTCAACCTGAGAACCTAATATTGCAAAAAATCACAAACACCTTAATTTAAATGGCGTCTTCCCATATATTAACAGTGTTTGTTTAAGACATGATGTGGACATTATTAGGCTATTGTTCAACAGTGTAAATGAACTAAAGTGCTGGTCGCCATTCAGAATTAGAAGCCCTATTAAAAGCTAACGTCATCGAACCTCTTAAAAAATTGAATTACGAACGAATATACGCAATGACACACTGGTCAATGATGACACTATTTGGCTGCCCATTGACATCCTAGAATTGAATTGTAAACACATCATTTGAGGCCTGATAATAAAGAACATTGTGAAAGGAGCTGTATCACTCTATAACTTATAGAAGTTGCAAATTCTTTTTACAATGATTCGAAGATTATCATCCGAAGGAGAAGATCTACTCTCAAATAGAATATTCAGTAATCTATCTTCCCTTGAGTCAAATTCCAATCCACATATTTTATATTTTAATTAGATAATTATAGTAAGCCAACTGTTGTTCCGTTGCTGGTACAGAGATGAAATGTTTATCCTGCTCAAGAATCATACAAGTATTGATTCTGTCCTCGACATGCTCATTATGGGGCACTGTGGAATAAAATTCATCCGGAGAAAGGAAATGTGAAACCTGTCCACTCAACTAGACTTCCTGCAATCTAAGATAAAGCACTCTGGCATTAAACTGGGAAACAATTTTTATACAAACCGTGAGGTGATCACTGTACACAATTCAGATTTTTTCCCCAACGACATACTACTACAAAATATCCCATCCACATTTTGATATGAATGCTGAAAATTTGTAACTCAAGTGGATGTTACGCAATTCTTATGTTGTTCACTACATATATTTATATTCTTAGATTTAAATGAACACATGGAACCTGATGTCGTCTCCCAAGGCATCGTTTTTCTGGGTAGATGTGAAGCTCAGTACTAGCTCACCTAGTGCATAGGGAGGTTTATCTCTCCTCATTTTTCCAAGATTATTATATCATTGTCCCATTGGTTTCTGAACGCAACATAAGGCTTCAAAAGCACACACCCACTTCGTCCCATTCTCTGAGGTCCTCTTTAACTGGCCCCACGATTTCCCACAGTCTCTCATCTCCTCCTTGCATAACCTCCTCCATAAAACACTCGAATCACACCGTACTTGTCGTTTCCCATTCGGGTTCTACTAGAGGAATGGAATGGTTCACAATATAATTATACGATCTCCTCAGCGCTTGCCGAATCCGTCTTGAATTTGTCTTGAATATTTCTTAAGCAATAGGTTCCTGGTTAGTTTGATCCCACAGTTTCCTGTTGCTAATTCTTTCCATCGGCCATCTAATTTTCAGTATGGAACCATCCATCCAAGGCAGATGTCAGTAGAAGTCTGTAGTAGTCTGTTGAAAATGCTTTTCGTGACCAGCCATCATTTCTCAAAATGTTCCACCTCTATAGTAGGTGCGGTAAAAACAGAGTCTTCTGAATTTGTTTTCAACGTAACTTCACTTCAGAAAAGAACTGTATCCATTGTCTTCCCCCACCCTTCAACCATTGCTTATTTCTTCTAAAAAAAAAGCAGTTTTCTACCTCGTTCATCAAATGAGATATTTTTTTCACACGTTATCTTTGCCTCTATTCAGTTTAAGCGATGCATTTTCTTTTTACCTTAACAACGTACTAAGAACTCGACTGCTATTCTTTTTTATGAGACGGATATTCAGTATTTTATTACTATTTCAAACATTCAATAGGGTTTGACAAGTCATTTTGTTATCAAATCCCCAAGAAATGACCATAAAACTAGAAAATACGTACTAATAGTGTTTAGCATAAGCTTAAAAAATTCAAGTTTTTTTTCAATAGTTTATGAAGCACAAGTTTGTTCATTTGACGGTACACCAGCTCGTATATGTGTACAAAAAGACACTAATATTGTCCATGTGCGTTTCTTTTAAACTTTTCTATTTTAATTTTACCAGTGACAACTTTCGTCTACATAGACAATGAAACACATAATTAATGAATTAAGACAAATTGAAGTTAATTATACTTCCTAAATTGATAAAGAAAATTTATTCTCCCTTTTTTATTCTTTGTGTATTGGAAAATACCCATCAAGGTAACGGTTACATTGAAGGCTCAGAGTTGGACAACTTTTTGCGTGAATTTATATACAGTGTATTTTCAGAGGAGTTGGGCAACGAGGTGAGTTTCTTTTGGATTAGTCTATTTCCAAATTAAATTATTTTTATATTTTTTATCTGTAGTAGTTTCTGGGTTATCTGAAGGATTTTTCGGGGAGTGCTTCACCATATATAGTTGCCTTCACAGATTCACAGATTGATCATACCCTCCATCTCCGGTGTTTACTATCACGCCTGCAAGTGACTCTTTTGTCTTGCTTCTATTGAATTTAAACGTAGATGAGGCAGAAACCAACCTTGTCTTTTCTAATATGAAAAGATTCTGTGAACGCATACCGTGTGGAACATATCGAAGTCAAGTAAATATGATAGGGAATATTTTGGCATAGTTGTGTTCTCTGAACTCGGCGGATTAGTTTGAAATCGCTCATCGTTCTTCTGGACGGCATTCTTAGTGCTTCAAATTGAAAAGAGATAACACGGCTACACAGAAATTTCCAAGTTGACTGAAGTGCACAGTAACTAAGATACAATGTAACAATTAATTGTACTTGTTACTAGCTCTTTTGAAATAACAGACTAATAACTGCAATAAAGGCGTATCACGTAAGCTTCACAAACTTAGAGAGAATAGTTTTGTTTGATGACTGCTTATATAGCTGAAATTATGAAGAAATTGTCTATGCGGTTATATCACTCATCAAAACTGAGAACATCTTACTACATACTACGGTCTTCGGTTGAGAAATCACGGTAGACATTTTGCATTGTTAAAATATGCTGAGTTGTACAAAAATCTGAACAGCTTTGCTATACTTTGCACAGATTATAGTCCATCTCTATGATAGAATTATACTTTGCTACAGAATTAACCATACTTGTGTTCATCTAGGCACGTAGGAAAAATTACACCGCTTAAATGCTTATGTCAAATGAATGTCATCTGTCATAACTACTTGACATGTAAATCAGTTAATATAAAAACTAAGTAGGAGAAAAATCAAATTTCCTCAAAGTTATCCAAACAAAACCTCTAAGATTTAGCCTTTCCATTAACGGAGACTAACTCAGAAATAAGCCTATAGTACTGAGAAACATCAAATTCATTGTCAGTCATCCGACTGACGATATCTGAAAGGTATTCAGACGCCTTCCGGAGTTAAAATTAGAAAGAAAGGGTTTGTTTACCTTAAAATTTCTTTTCTAATGTATTAATTCTAATTTTAGATTTGGTTGTTGGTTGTACAATAGGGCCTTCACTTTGTACATTATCTCCAGTGGACTAACTGGTGAGACAAATTATAGACCACTACGTATCTTTTGAAACTGGGGCTAAACCACACCACACAAAAAGACTACTAAGCTTTTCAAAACTACATAACATAGTTCAAAAATACTTCAAAGTGAATATGCAAGTACGCACCCACCGGAGTTCGAACCCAGGACCTTCTGGTTACAAGGCGAGCTCGTAGACCATTGAGGCACTGGGACCCGATACAATGGACCATGAATTCTAACCTGCCGATTCACGATATAGCGCAACTGCTACCCAATGTCTTCGGCGAGTATGGTCTAGAGCTCGCCTTGTAACCAGAAGGTCCTGGGTTCGAACCCCAGTGAGTGCGTACTGATGAAGAGTCCCAAACAAGGACGAAACAGCTGTCCAGTACTCCCAGGTTTTCCAGTGGTTTTCTAACCAATGTCAGCTCATGATGAAATCCTGTAACCAATCAAAAAAATCCGTACAAACCAATACTTGAATGTCTAAGTGTTGTTTTGCAGGGATTTGATGGGTTTCAGCATTTCATCTCATAACGAAATCCGTTGGAGGGCAGTTGAAAACCAGCAGGGAGTACAGGAAATCTGTTTTCCCAACCTAATTCGGGTTACTTCAGCAGCACTCATCCATTGAGGTTCGAACCCAGGCGAGCTGGTAGAACATTAGGCGATCCAATGGTCCATGGATTCCAACTTCTGCCAATTCACGATTAAGAGCAACTACCAGCCAATGAATATCGACTATACGAGTGAATGTTTAATACTTCAAAGACATGCAAAATGTAAACCTTTCCTTTCACTCAGAACAAACTTCTTTCTTTGCAAGTTTACGCCAGTCAATATTGTATGCTGAAGAGAGTATTGGTCACACATGTCATGTCTTGCTTGCATATTTGCTGATGCAGGCATACATGGCAGCCTACTGAAATCATTGGTCTCCATAATGGATAAGATTTTAATTTAATAAATCACACAGTGTTGTACAGTTAAATTAACTGATGACGTTTCGAGCACAAACTATTGCTCATAAACATATCAAGTTGATACTTGATACTCTTATCCATTATGGAGTTATAATCTACCACAGTGCCCAAGTTTTATACTTATATCAAATCATTGGTCTGTCTAATTTTCCAGAGAGCATAATACTTCAAATTTACGCGCTTGTGCGGTTTTTTAACCACATACTTACATTTTTGAAAGACAATCTATACTCCCAGATATATTTGAATTACTTTCACTATGCCGCTTGGAAGGGGTAGGATTATATTGCGGATAGAACGAAATTTGATCAAATGATATACTGTAGATTATTACTTTACTTGGATAATCTTCAAAAAAGGTAGATCAAGCGTCTCTTAATATACTGCTGACAAATCTTTTCAGTAGGGCACGCCACAACAGTTTATTTAATCAGTGTAAGAAATACCCACCAGTCACGTGATACGTCTAAGGCAAGCGGCTTTTTATTCTGTAACACTTTCAAACAGTCAGTTTATTTCCAACTGCTTACAATTGAGTTAAACAGATGTATGTTATTTTATTCTATTCTAAACATTCGGGTATTCTGTCATAAAAAGATGAGATGCAACAAGAGAACTTTTTCTCTCAACATGTTTATTTCCCTGCAATAATTTAAGTACATTTTGGTACTGAAGTAAGCAGGACGCATAGGCGATTTGTAGGTGAAAAGCTACTTTACGACCAGGCTAAAATATTTACGAAATGCACCCATCTAATTATGGAAATGAGAACAAATAGTTCAGCTAATAGTCTCCCTTCAGTGAATTCATTCACTTAACTTTACGACCCCAATTATATATATATATATATAACTTTTGTATGCCTGTGTGTGTAAATAGGACAAGAGTAAAAACTAGTGCAGAGTATTGTTTACATGATCAAAATATTTCCAGACAACGATGAATGGTCAAATCGCAACTAGGGGAATGAAGACTACTAAGTTTAGACTAAGATTGTGCCGTATGGAAAATGTTTAGAGAAAAGTGGATGTTAATGTAACGACATGCCATGAGACAAGTATCCAAATAAATTATGTACTAGGTGAAGAAAGTAGACAGGAAGCTTAGTTAATGAAAATGATGTTAATTAATGTCATACAGAAAATGCACAAAGTAGTATCAGCAAGAAAATACTGATAACATTTGAGCTTGGAATTATGCTCCAGGAAATAGGTGGTGGGCATGGAGAATTTTTTTTTCATGTACATAAATCAGGGTTTTCCATCCGAACCCTTATTCATGTGTAACTGTGCGTATACATAGCTAAGTGAATGAATTCACCGAATATGCGACTCTTCGCTAAACAGTTTGTTCTTCTTTCGATAAACTGAAAAAAATCAGCCTTCTTTGCTGCACTCTCCACCACCTTTGAATTTCCTAACAATATCACCTTATCGAATGTTTTTCGTTCGCAATAGACACAATTTACGAAAATAAACGAAAAAAGGGAGGGTTGAATAGTGGTTTATGAATTTTGCGAATTCCACACGCAAAATAGCAACAGAATTGTAATCCATTTCAGACAACCCTACAAAATTCAGCTATGAAATTTAATGTCTCAGGAATTCTAATGTTTTGCATGAAACTAATATGGACTTCTTCGGATATTGGAGAACAAACCAAAACTGGGACTATAAATAATCCACTTCTCCTTGACTTTCTAACTCATGTGAATTCGCTAAGAAATGGACTTGAAATCGATCGAAAAGCCCCAGCAAACCAACATACGGACGTCTACAGATGCTGATTACACAAAACAATGTCAATTACACATATATACATATATAAATTCGACGAGTCAGATTATCAAATAATAACTAAATGTATTAATCGAATTATTTCCCAAAAGTAACAACACTCTTACGTCAGCCACAAACAGATGAATTAAGATTAGGCAGTTAGTGTATGATTTATATTCAGACATAAAGTCTCATACACGTGAAACTGAAGATATATAAATGAGATAAGAGAGAAATACAAATCAGCAGGATAAACTGTCCATACAACGATTTGTTCATCCGATTTGTCCATCCATAGAAAGCACCTGTAAGTGGATGCATAATAAAATAACTCAACACAGTGAGTAGCATACATTATAGACATTCATGAAAAGGAAATTTATGCAAGTTCAAGTTGCAGTAAATATTTGTAGCTTCGCATTTTTAGACTGAGTGTTAAACAGAAATGTGGTTTAAAAGTAGTGGACAGTTTTATCGCTAACGATCAGAACATAACACTGAATTCTCCATTCTCATTTCAATAAATCCCTACTTTCATTAATCTACTTCTTTTGCATGGAAAACAAAATTGACTGAACTGTATGAAAAAAATATTTTACAAGTGATCTTTCGGATTGGTTACAGCTTTGATAACGTGTTGACCTAAGATGGGAAACTATTAAAAAACCAGTAGGGAGTACTGGACAACTGTTTTTTCATAGTTTAGGACTCTTCGACAGTAGTGAACCTAGGACCTTCCGACTACAAGGCGAGCTTGTTGACCATTAAGCCACTGGGACCCAATCCAATGGCCAGGCCAAGAATTCCACAAGCCAGTGGCATCAGCGAGCAACTATTCTCCTCTTACGTGACTTGGTGAACCTTATAGACCACAACTTCTCTCCCGAACTCCTGGCAATCTTCTGTATAAAGCCGGTAACTAGTGAACATTAGATTAATTAAGCATTTTGCAGTACCACTCGGTAAAATCCATCAGAATATTGACGTTCACTGTAGAGAATTGATGATAAACTACCCCACGG